AAAACCGAGATGGCAGCAGGGGAAAATCTCGTTAGATCTTCTTAAAGCACCTTTAAAAGTACTGACAACTTTTGTTAATATTTGTTTTAAAAGATACTGACAACTTTTGTTAATATTTGTCAGTACTTTTGCGGTTCCGATTTTGCTGCTGAAAGCATATACATTTTCACATTAATTTGTTAATAGCAAACTGGACCAACAACCTGTCTACTTTATAACAGCAGTCCGTTCGCGGCAAATTGATGCCGTGACAATAACAATCTATATTTCATCTTCAGGAGTTTGTGCTGCAATTTTTGCAACTATCAAATTATCATGTTATTTTTTATTTTAACAGTTACGTTCTTATCTGAAAACTAATTTTTTTATCACTTTTTATTGCCTAACTGAATCCAGAAAAGAATGAGCATAAAGATGGCCACATATTAGTACGGCGCAAACTATATTTTTTGAGCATCTACATAGCACTGAGCAACACTAGCCTAACGGTGGCTCATCAAGCCAATACTTAACCTGGTGAACATGTATAAATAAAAAGAATAATTAAAAATACTAAAACACTTTAAAATTGCAATATACATTTTTCAAATTAGTTTAAATGAATAAATTATTTACTTTCAAAATTTAATATGCCATATTTAATTGACAATACCCAGCCGGCACAATGACGTTGAAATAACGTCGAAACAACGTCGCAAACCGACCATATGCCACGTTGAAACAACGTTGAAATTTGGTTGAATTGGAAATAAAATCCGACGTCGAAAACTACGACGTTGAAACAACGTCGATGATTACGTCGTTTCAACGTTGATCTAACGTCTTATCGACTACATATCAACCATATTTCAACTTTGAATAGGTGATATATTCGATTGATACGTAGTTGATAAGACGTTAAAACAACGTTGAAACAACGTAAATTCAACGTTGATTTTTGTTTTTTATTTTGGTTAAATCCAATTAACTAAAAAATTTTCCCAACTTTAATTGCAATAAATTAACACAATAAAAAAGCAATAATTTGCGCAGAATATATTATATTTCACGTAAATTAATTAGATACAACTAAATTGCTTCAACGGACTTTATATACAATGCAAATAAAATAAAATGTTTGAAAAAAAAAAGTTTTATTTATCAGTATTATATTTATCAATTTATCAATAATAACTATTATCAATAGTTCCAGAACAACTAGGAAAAAGTATGAATGTTATACATCGGGTTAATCGCCTTTTACGCGCCGACCACCACCATTTGATCTGCCGAGTGCGTATTTTAATAAATTCATTATTCCTTTTCTTATTTCGGCAACTGTAGCACTCACTTTAATTGACAAAACTCTCTCTATAAAAAAGGTATTGCCTGAGTAATTTTCATCATATACATCAAAAAGTTAAAAATAAAATAGCATTAAAAAAACGAACTGTGATTTTTAAAAATATATAATTTTACACTTAACTTACGAGTAAATACCAAATGTTTGTTCCTTTAAATTTCTCTTTACCTTTACCGTCAGCCATTTTAAATTTTGATTATAAACCATTGGTCAACAACCGACATTATACATTGTTATTAATATCATAGTAACAAAACTGATATAAATGTCTTTTACAAAATACAAATTATTCTTAATGAAAAAAAGCACAAAGATTTCTTACCAAAGGTTTCTCACCCAACGCAAAAGGTTTCTTACCAAACCGTAATGCAAGTAAGAAAAAGAATTTATACAGGGGAAGAGTTTGGTCTAAGGAGACCACCTTCTAAACGCAAGAAAACACCAAGAGCGGACAGTATAATCAGATTTATCTGCCTGGAAAACAGAAAAACAGCCACTAAACTTATTGACTAAGCTTATCCATGAAGCTGTAATTGTTGTGTCAGACCGGACCATTTGTAGAAGGCTAAAAGAAGAGGGATTGATGTCCAGCCTAAAATGTCAAAAAATGACAAAAAAATTCAAAAATATTAAAACAAATGTCAAAAATCTTATATTTATGAAAAATTGTGCAACTTGCCACACAATCAAAACTGTTATGGCTTAGTTAATGTATTGCTATGGCCAGACAACTTGCATGATCTTAACCCCATAGAAAACATTTGGGAAATAATAAAGCAAGAGATTGGAAAAAAAAAATCTTACTAATAAGCAAGATTTTATGGAAGAGATTATCAAGATCTGGCATAATAACCCAAAGTTGACAGAAACTATAAAAAATAAATTGCAAGCATGCCACAATGTGTTGAAGCAGATATTGCAATTAAAAGTATTTTTGCAAAATATTTATACTTTGTATATATTTTATATAATTTATCATAATAATCAATAAATATTCAAAATGTTCAATTTTATTTGTTTATTCTTATCAAGTACAACTTTACAAATAAAAGAAAAAACTTTAAATTGTACCATTATTTTATATATATATATATATATATATATATATATATATATATATATATATATATATATATATATATAATATATATATATATATATAATATATTAATTTAAGCATATGTATGTATATATATATACATATATATGTATGTGTATTTATGTGCATATATATGTATGTATATATATCGAGTAAAAAAAAAGGTCAAGTATGCATTAAAAATCAACCTTTGTACTTTAAGGTTGTTCTTTAGCTCAAGGAAATACAAAAGTAAGAAAAAACAGTTTAAAAAAAATTCTAATCAGACATAAAAAAAAAGATTTATTTTATGTCTGATTAGAATTTGTCAAACTTTTAAAAATATATGCTAAATATATTTTTGACACAAGTTTAAAACAAACTATAATAAAAAGATTCAAAAGAATTTTATTCAAAACTACTTTTAACAAACCTTTGCATCACATTTTTTGTATTTGTCTTAATGGTTTTATTTCCAATTTTAGAAAGTTAGTTAACCTAAAGGTTTAAGAAAATAATTACACAACATTTTTTTTATAGTACATTTATAAAAAGTTACAAGTAGATTAACTTAGGCTAAGTTATTGTTAAATACTTAATCAAAAAACAATAAAAAAACTGCAAAAAGTTATGGTCTGAAACAACCCATCCCTCCAGAACTCACCCAAGAGTCATTTAAACTGTTATCATAATCACTAAATTACTGCTGCAAGTTCATCAATAAAATTTCAAAACTATTTGTCATGATATTACTTTAATTACTGGAAAGAGTTTTTACTAACATCTCCTTCTAACAATAAAGATATATCAGAAAGACAAAAGAACCAAACATTAATTAATTTCTAAAAGCGTTGAAAAACAAGAACAAAACATTTATAAAATAAAACATTATTCATAAATTAAATTAAATGTATTAATTTAGCAATCAATAAAATGTGTAAATCACTGAAGCATAGAAAAAAATGTTCAGAATCTTTTCTTCCTAAATCAACATGCAGACAGACAGTTAATACCTTAAGCTACAGTATGTGGAGTATGCATAAAAATTGTTTTCTGTTTCTTTTTTTGCGTTACAGGAGTAGGTACTTGTTTACTGTTCTGTTGGTTATTATGTTTTCTCTTGCATAAGCATGGTAGTGGCTCCTATAAAAATTAATATCAAAATATAAATAATAATACTTGAATTAAGTATCTTTTGAAATAGTTACCATTTTCTGAACCAGATTCTATCTGAGTATCACTAGTAGAGGCAAATTCAAATTTGTTACATAACTCATGATCTAAGAATATTCATTCAATTTAAAAATGTTTTAAATACATTATATAAGAAAGAATATATAATAAAGAATATATCTAAACACTGAAAACAACATATACAGAATGAAAGCATGTTAAAAAAACAAGGAAAAAAAGTAATGACTTAAGGTTTATAGAAAAAAAATTACCTCATCTCCATGACATTTAATTTTGAGCAGCTTAAATCTGTATTAGTTAGATACGGTTTATGCATTTCATTGAAACAATTTATTACATTTAATGATGATGGCCACAAAAAATTATCAATCGAATTTTCTCTCTGTATTTACAGAGTATGCACAAATTCTTTTTTTTACAACTTTACAAGAAAAATCTTTAAAAATTTAATAAAAATTTTTTAATATAAAAAATATTCGAACTCTTTAAATCACATGGATTGGTAAAAAAACTTGATAAATCATTATTTTGTAAAACATCATCGATTATATATATTTATATTATGTATGTATATATACATATATAGTGTATGTATATATTATATATGGATATTATATATGTATATATATATATATATATATATATATATATATATATATATATATATATATATATATATATATATATATATAATTATATATATAGGTTTGTATTAACGACTGATGATTGCCTTCGGGCATGAAACTTTAAGTCCCGCTAATCAGTTGTTTTTATTTATCTAAATATAATCATATATAGCTCTATTATTCAGCAATATTGAGCACTGTAACACGTACAAGAGACTTCGTATTATTACATCAAAATACTTAACCTCGAATATATTCTATATATCGAAATCTATACAAATATATATACATATATATACATATATATAATATGCATATATAATATATACATACACTATATATGTATATATACATACATAATATAAATATATATATATACTATATATATATATATATATATATATATATATATATATATATATATATATATATATATATATATATATATATATATATATATATTATATATATATATTTATATATATATATATATATATATATATTTATATATATATATATATATACTATATATATATATATATATATATATATATATATATATACTATATATATATATATATATATATATATATATATATATATATATATATATATATATATATATATATATATATATATATATATATATATATATATATATATATATATATATATATATATATATATATATATATATATATATATATATATATATATATATATATATATATATATATATATATATATATATATATATATATATAGGTACGCGGATATCGCGATTTACGGAACCGATTTTTGTGCTAAAATTTTGGTTCTCGTTTTTTTCACTCTTTTTTAAGGCAGCGTGAGGCAGACGTAATTTTGTGGAATTTCTTTTTAGAAACAGATATACACATAGATACTTTTTGGAAAGAAGAAAAGCTAATCTTGTTTTATTTAAGAAATTTATGCATAGTTATTACACTTTTTATCGATTATTTTGCTTCTGAATATTTGGTTGGTGTTCTCACATGAATTTGTAGTAAAAGAAATGTTGAGCCGACTTTTTTTTTTATTCAGACATATTTCTACATGCATTTTCTATGGGCATGCCAAATTTCAACGAAAAATAATTGGTAGCAGATAGTTTAAAATGTATTATATTACTTATACCACTTATTTTAGGTAGCCTTAGGTAAACGTTTTTTTTTGTGTTTGTTTCAAGAAACATGCATAAACATAAATTATTTTCATAAAGAAAAAAGGTTGATCTAGATTTTTATATGACTTTTATGCATGGTTACCCAACATTTTTATGTATTATTTTGCTGACAATATTGCATGAAAATATTGTCCCTGTTCTCACATTAATTTAATGTCGAAAGAATGTTGAGCCGGCTTTTTTTGTTAGTTTTTCTATATTTTACATGCATTTTCTAAGCACCTGCCAAAAATCAACGAAAAATAATTGGTAGCAGATAGTATACTAGGTGTTAGACTTTTGGTACAAAATTTTGGTTTTTCTGTTGTTTTTTTTCGTTAAGCTTGTTACGGGTGTGGATAGGGGGGCCGACTATACAAAAACATAACAAATCCCAATATCGTATTATTTTGAATTTTATTTTTAGATTAAAATAAATAATGAATACTAACAGAGATGTTGTTAGATCTATAACAGATAGTAAGTTTAATTTTTTTTATAATAATATCAATAATAACTATTTTAAATCAAAAAAATATTTATATATCATTTGTTAATATTTTCTTATTTAAAATTCTTTTTTATGTAACTATAATTTATCTGTTTTTATATTATAAAAACAGATTAATTCTTAATCTGTTTTTATATGTTACATTAAAAAGAAGATTAATGCTTCAATTTAAAACTTTGCTTTTGAATGTATTGTTAACTATTAGTATCTGTTGTCAATTTTATTATGACACAACATACAAATCAGATAATTCATTGGTTTATTACTTGCAAAAATCCTGTTAGCATTTTTCAAATATAATAAAACTTATCATCTTATTATCATCTTTTATTATTTTTGGATTGTATACTTCTTTATCTTTGGATTATTATTTAAATCATAATACAAGCATGCCTGATGTTTACATGTTGTTTAGATCCTGCTGCACATTATGAAGCTTTTTTGAGATATCGTAAGTATAAATCACATATTTTATATATAACCACAACCAATATAATGTAATTAATATATAAACAAAGTGAATAACCATTCCTAATGTTAGCTTGTTGTTTATTAATATATTTTCTTTACATTTTCCCTGTTAGTTTTCATTATGTTAATACAGTTGTTGCATCTTCCACATAACTATGATTCTTTCATAATTTAATAGTGTTTTGTTGTAATTATACACTTTTTTTGTTATTTTTAGTTCAATCTACCCAGCCTACCACAGGTAAGTTTGTAACCTACCACAGGTAAGTTTGTATAGGATAACTAGATTATCAAATATAAGAATGTATATCTTGGTTTAATTTATATTATTTTTGATCTTCATTCCTTTTATCAGTTGCTACGGTTAGTTATTTTAAAAGCTAGTACTTTTTTATCTGTAAATAGATTTAATACCAATTTCAAAATCGTCAATTGCAAAATTTATTTTTTTTATTACTTTTTTTACCTTTAGCAACATCTTCATCTGCAATTAGTGGTAAGTTTAGCAATTATTAATTTTTAATTTTTGCATTTCTTGAACATTGCAAATTTATTTTTTATTAAAACTTTTTAGCTCTAGTTCCATCCTCAATTGCATTGAGTGGTAAGCTTAAAAATATTTTTATTGCATCCTTTAAAAAGCCTGTTAGTTACATCTTCAGCTGCTACAAGTGGTACGTTTATAAACTATTATTTTCTAATATGTGTATGCATAATTTACATGTGTAAAAGTATTTTTTCTAATATGTGCATGCATATCTTATCGATAGCAAGTAAATTGTATTTTTATTTTTAAAAAATTTTACCTTTAGTCCCACAACCTCCACAACAATTAACACAACCTTCTGCTGGTAAATTTATGATTTAGAAATGTTGCTGAATGATTATTTAATTCCTTATATTTTTATTTATATTCACAAATTAGTACATTTATATTATGTTATCCTTCAAAGTGCAGTAGAAGTATAAACCCAGAGCAGTATTTGATTTTTTACTTTAATTAACATTTTTTAAGCTATCATTGATTTATTATTTGTTAATTTTATTAATGCAGCCAATCAAATAATTGGTTTGTATTATTTGTTATTTTTTACCATTCAATACTAATGTAGTTACAATTTATTGTCTTTTAGAGCTTACCTATGGTGCCTATAGAAGATATAGGGACCAGCACCCTGGACCGATGAGCAATCGATCATTTTTGCGGTGGGTTCGGTTAGGAGGGAATGATGGTGAGTCATTCAGCTGGGCCTATCATTCACCTAACAGGGGTGCTGGAAGCTCCAGCAGAAAAGGAAATCGTGGAGGAGGTTGTGGGCGAAGACGGAATGGTGGCGGCCTTGTTGTGAATGGTGGCATCCACTATTACTAGGCGCCACCACTCCTTTATTTTTTTTTTAAATAAATATATAACATTATCAAGTTTGTTTTCCATTTTGTCCGAATTTTTGCAATTATTAACATTTGATTTATTTATTTCAAATCTTTCACAAAATGGTTTAAAAGCAAAGCATTGACAGATGTAGTAGTTTGCAAGGGACCTGTTTAGTATGTTTTCAATGTAATTAAAAGTTTTAGGATTTTTTGAGGTTTTGAAATTTTGAGGTTTTCTCATAGCCTATATTAAATGCAGTTTTAAATTTATATGTAATGTTTTATTGAGTTGATAAATGTTAAATATCTTTTCCATACCTAATTACTGTTCTTTATTTTGTTTGGTTTATATACTTTTTTTTTGAGTTAAGAATATTAATTGGTTTTAAACCAGTTTAATTGTTTGATTTTAAACCAGGTTAACTTATGTTTACAGTTCCTAAATATTATATTTACGTAACAATTACTTGTTTGCAGAAGGTATGTATGAGATTTTTTTTTACATGTTGTATTATAATGCTATTAATTATTAACAAATTTTGATATATTGTTTGTTTACTTTTCAAAAAATTAAATTAAAAATATGGTATATTAACTCTTTGTGTGTATATATATATATATATATATATATATATATATATATATATATATATATATATATATATATATATATATATATATATATATATATATATATATATATATATATATAGGTTCAAAAAAAAGTGGAGTTATGTTTGCGGATACAGTAAAAAAAGATTGATCTTACATATGGTGCAGAAGGGGATATCACCACGGAGGAGGGCGTAGGCGAAGAAAGAATGGTAGCAGTTGAAGAAGAAGTTTTTTGTATTAAAAATATATATTTAACATTATCAAGTTTGTTTTCCATGCTGTCTTAATTTACTCCAACCTGCATCTTGTAATGTGGTAAGATTATTAAAGTTATGTCTCGCTTTTTACACAATTTAAAGACATTTTTGAAATTTTTATTGACATTTTTTTAAAGTTTAAATAAGAAGAGGTGGGGGGAGGGGACGTTAGGCGTGGCAAACACCCCTCCCCTCACTAACATGGTAAAATAATCTTAAATACTAATTTCTCTTTTTAAATAAACTCAGTTTAAAACCATTTTTTAAATATCTTTTAAATTTTTTTTTTAGGTTGGAGAAGACTGAGAGGAAAGAGGGGGGGAGGGGCGTTAAGCTTGGCATCGTTCCGCCTCTAATGTCAATTTATGCACCACTTGTATATTCTGTTAAGTAAAAAAATATAATTTAAAGTCTTTAACACAAAATATAATCAGTGTTTTTTAGGCTCAAATATTTATAAGATGGTAGCATTTCACTACAAGGGTGTTAAAATGTAACAAATACATCCACCCTTTAATCTAAAATAGACCAATAATATTTGGAAAAGTAATGGAAGCAAATTAGAACAACTTTTTGTGTATAAAGATAACAAATTTTATCAGCAAAATACTCTTTCGTGTGAAAAACTTGCATTTTTTTAAGGTTTCGACGGTGTTCCGTTACCCCCTCTGGCCCTCTAGACACCCCTTTTATCTATAGAGCTATATGAACTTGTAGCCTACTATTACATCTATCTTTTGATACCAAGGTATAGGCGTTTGGATAAGATTTGACAAAGTTATAACAATTTCAGTGAAAAAAAAATTAATTTTGGAACCAGTTTCTTCAAGAAATCCATATATCGAAAATTTGCTACTAAAAACGTCATAACTTTTTTTTAAATTGTTCGTTTTTAATAATTTTTTCACCATTAAAATACATTTTTGAAGGGCTTTCTAATGATATATAACATTCTAGTATATGTTCAATTAAAAAAAATCAGTCCACGTACCTATATATATATATATATATATATATATATATATATATATATATATATATATATATATATATATATATATATATATATATATATATATATATATATATATATATATATATATATATATATATATATATATATATATATATATAGATGTATGTATATATATATATATATATACATACATACACTATATATATATATACATATATATATATATATATATACATATATATAATATGCATATATAATATATACATACACTATATATGTATATATACATACATAATAAAAATATATATATATATATATATATATATATATATATATATATATATATATACATATGTATATATATATATATATATGTATATATATATATACATATGTATATATATATATATATGTATATATATATATATATATATATATATATATATATATATATGTATATATATATATATATATATATATATATATATATATATATATATAATATATATATATATATATATATATATATATATATATGTATATATATATGTATATATATATATATATATATATATATATATATAATATATAAATATATAAATATATAATATATATATATATATATATATATATATATATATATATATATATATATATATATATATATATATATATATATATGTATATATATAAATATATATATATATATATATATATATATATATATATATATATTTATATATATATGTATATATATATATATCTAAATATATTATAAAAATATATATATATATATATTATATAAATAAGAAAAACATATATAATATATATTTTATATTTATATAATATATCAAGTAGTCTCTACTTGTAATCCACACTCATAAAATAATACGGTCATAAAGAAATATCCATTTAATATTTACCTAACTAACTGCATCACAAGTTAAGCCATGTATTATTGTTAAATTGTCAAATTTAAAACCTTATAAAAAGGCAACAGATGACCTTATTTATTAGCATGTGTGACTTTACTTGTTTTTATTGGGCTAATAAGTAACTTGTTAAGTCTTTGTCGTGTTGATAAAAAAATTTTAAGTCACGCATGCGTACTTTAGTTCTCATATTGCAATTACGAACGATCGAACTCGTAATATAGACGTTGAATTAACGTGGAATCAACGTCGATTTTATTTGATAGTTTTTTACAAATTTTTCAACGTTGATACAACGTTGATTTTTGGTTATACGGCATCGCGACTAAAAATCAACTCTAAATCAACGTCGAAATAACGTCGTGTGCCAACTGGGTATGCCAATATGCCATATTTAATTGACATATATGCCATTCTTAATCGGCATATATATATATATATATATATATATATATATATATATATATATATATATATATATATATATAATATATATATATATATATATATATATATATATATATATATATAGATGGTACCCAGCAAACATAAGTATATATATATATATATATATATATATATATATATATATATATATATATATATATATATATATATATATATATATATATATATATATTTATGTTTGCTGGGTACCATCTATTCGCAGTTTTCTTCGGTACTACATGTATGACATCAGCTAGAGATAAAAGATTTAAACTTATTTAGCCAAACTTTTCAATCGTGAGTAAGGTGTTATCTGCAAAGTGAAAGTGGAAGTTTTGTAATTAATATACTCGAAAATACTTTCAACTCTAACAAAGTGTAAATATTAGTCGGTAAATATTTTGGTCTCTGAGAGAAGTATAGTGGAAAAATTTATACCGTTTAATGGCAAATATAAATGTTTGTGCAACAGTAAGATCTTATGGCTCAAAATGGAAATTTCCGAGAGCAGCAATGAATTCAGTGAAAAACTGAAAATTAAATGAAAAAATTATTACAGTACAAAAAAATTGGTTCAAAAATAAAAAATAAATGCATTAAAATAATGTCTACAGCAGCTAGAATCAAAAGTAGCACCAAGTTATAGCATTTTATTTTAGGCACCAAAGTATAGCATTTATACGTGGTGGTCTAAAACTTTTTTCCAAGACTGTATATAAAATCCTTTTTTTGAAATTTTTGTTTTTTATTCAAATTTATGGTACATAAGTGTTTTTAAGAATTTTTTATCCACAACTAGCAGAAATATGATTATATCTGTAAAAACTGATAATGAGTTTGAAAAATGATTTCGGAGATTGTTAAATGCAAGAAGAAAAAATACAACGATACTAATTACAAAACAATTATTCAATAATTCATCATAATAAAGAGAAAATTTTTGTAAAAAAGGCCACTGACCCGTAATTTAGTTTTAAAGAATTAAACAGGTCTCAATTTCTCTGATGCGGAACCTAATAAAAATAATATGCATATCATGTATTTTTTAAATATTTTATTAAATATTTTATTAATATATAACATTTTAAATATTTATTAAGTAATCAGATTAAAAAATAAAAATTAAACTATGGTAAATTCTTATTTAATTATAAGATGAAAAAATATGTTCAGTTGGAACATTAACAAGAACAAATTGATTGGGGGTGAAAAGTTAAATTAACAAGAACACAGTTGAATGTTGTCAAACATTTACAAACAAATACAATGAACCATTTGAGAAATATATACCGAAAAAGATCAATAAAATATTCTAATATAAAATAGTAGATTGATGAGGAAGTTAACCAAGCTATAAAACTATAATATAAATTCAGTATAAATTACGTAGCAAGTAATATCAAATAGAATTAAATCATTATTTCTGCCGCAGCAATATAAAACAATAAATTAGTAATGCAGCAGGTTTACATAAAACGCTTAAACTGCAAAAAAATGCTGTTGAATTTTCTAAAAATAGTACAAAGTTATTTTTTAACTATGCAAGTATTACCAAATACTTCAATATGAAAAAAAACTCTACGTATGATATGAAAAAAAACATTTTAATCGATAGATAAAAAAATTGCAAACTAGTTGAATAATTGTTTTAGTTCAGTATTAGTAAACGAAAAAATAACATTCCATTTATAGTAGGTTGGAGTGAAATTATTTATTTTGTAAAATTCTCCTGTTAAACCTCTAGATTTGATCAATTAACCAGGCTTGTGGAGTCGAGCCGGAGCCGTGAAGCCGGGTAGCTGCTATTATATGGTGGAGCCGGAGCTGGAGCCGCAAAAATAGAGCGGCTCTCGGCTTCAAGTGTTTTTTAAAGGAATTGAATGTATGTTTTTTTTTTATTGTAGACAAATTTTATTCATTCATTTTTTAACTATTTTTTGATTGAATTATTTATTGAATTTCTATTTTTTTGAAAATAATTTTTTTTTAACAGTTAAAGTCTTGCTAAAACGTAATAAAAATGAATATTTTAACAGTTTTGTACTCAATAAAATACTATTATTTAATACACACACACACACACACACACACACACACACACACACACACACACACACACACACACACACACACACACATATATATATATGCTCTATTAAGAAAACAAGTAAATTATATACGGAAACATTCTTACAGTATTACATATATTGCCTAATATTACATTTTTATATTGATATTATGCTGTTAAATATATGATGCGCGATTTAATGATCAAAGGTTATTTATCTTAAAAATTATACTACCCAGTGGGTACGGAACGTAAGAAAGACGTCTTTCGAACGTTTTGACATCTTCTGAATGTTTTAGACGTCTTTTGAACGTTTAAAAGACGTCTTTTGAATGTTTAAAAGACTTTTTTTAGGTATTGTCCCCACTTTATAGAATTAGAACTAAAATTAGGTCTAAAAACTCTAGTTATGGGTTAATATTATATATAAAAATTGTATATTTACCAAAAATATTTTTCTTTTTAAATCTAAGAGTAGTGATAGTAATACATTAACCTTGTAATTATGAAAGTTAGTTAAAAATTAATTGCAATTTTTGTGCACAGTACGGACTTGGCTCCCGGCTCGGCTCTTTTTTTT